AAGAGTGGATAAGGCCCCCCCATGGTGACGGCCTCGTGGCTGAGTTTTTGCCAATTTAGGAATGGAGGCATCCAGGGCCCAGGTTCATTGATATCCCAGCACCTTCTTGCGCTGTCTGTTTTCTAGGGGACTCTGAGCTCCTTGGGGAGGGTTTGCTCTCTGTTCTTCGCCTCCAAGCACAGAATTGTTCGTACATGCCCAGGAGTCAAGTCCTCCCATCTCCTTTCTGCTTTTTGGCTGCAAAAATCTTTCGATTTAGGAATGGAGGCATCCAGGGCCCAGGTTCATTGATATCCCAGCACCTTCTTGCGCTGTCTGTTTTCTAGGGGACTCTGAGCTCCTTGGGGAGGGTTTGCTCTCTGTTCTTCGCCTCCAAGCACAGAATTGTTCGTACATGCCCAGGAGTCAAGTCCTCCCATCTCCTTTCTGCTTTTTGGCTGCAAAAATCTTTCGTCCTTCTGTTCTAGTCATTGCAGGCTCCAGACTGCAACCTGGGTGATAAACAGACTCGTGAGTCTCAGTCACAGACCAGCCTTTACCTGGGTCCAAGGCCTGCTGTCTCCAGGCCCCTTCTCCCCTGCCTCTACCTCGTACATGCCCAGGAGTCAAGTCCTCCCATCTCCTTTCTGCTTTTTGGCTGCAAAAATCTTTCGTCCTTCTGTTCTAGTCATTGCAGGCTCCAGACTGCAACCTGGGTGATAAACAGACTCGTGAGTCTCAGTCACAGACCAGCCTTTACCTGGGTCCAAGGCCTGCTGTCTCCAGGCCCCTTCTCCCCTGCCTCTACCTCTAATTTCTGCCCCCTCAGTCCTGATCCCAGCTGCTGGTTCTGTATCTCTGTCCCCTGGGATCCTGCTGCATCATCCCCAGCCACTCCCTGCTCGGGGGCACTGCGGTGGTCACACTCTGGCTGAGGTCTCCTCCACCAGGCTGGGATCCTGGGAGCTGCTGCCAGCACTTTCATGGACTTGCTAGGTCCTTTTGCACAAGTGCCCTTTAGAGGTGCTGCGTGCCCAGCTGCCAAGGGCTTCCATCTCTGCTGATCGGGCCTCCTGAGTGCCCAGGAGTGATGGCTGAGCAAGGCGACTCTCCAGTGGGTGCCGTGTGCTGCTCTGCCAGGGCCCAGGCACAGGGACACCCACAAAATGCTGGAGCACTCGGACTATAAGAGGAAAGTGTATCTGTAGCTAAAGAACCCCTTAAATGCTCCTGAAAATGTAGGTGGTTCCCCATACTGTGGGGCTGCAGGGCTGGGCCTGGTGCTGGGGAGAAGGGTTGGTGGGAGGGACTGGAGGAGGGGCAGTGCTGTGGGGGAAGTCAGTGTCTAGGGTTGGGGGCAATGTGTGGGAAAGGGTTGGTGGGAGGCCGAGGGTGATGCTGTGGGGAAGGAGATGTGTGGGTGGCTGGAGGAAGGGCAGCGCTGTGTGGGGAGGGCTGGCTGTATGGGTTGAGGGATGGTGCTGTTGGGGGGCAGTGCTGTGGAGTTATGGGCAGCACAGTGTGTGGGAAAAGGTTGCCATTTGGGGCTGGGAGGGAGTGTCAGTGTGGGAGGCAGAGGCAGTCCTGGGGTGTGCAGGGGAAGAGGCACACCACAGTGTGGGGGGGCAATGGAGGGGGGAGAGTAGGGATGTTAAGTAGAGGTTAATACACTAATTGAGTAGTCAACTACTCAATTAGCTGATAAAGGGGTTAGCTCCCGG